TTCATCACGAGACGTCATAATTCTTCTTCCAACCATGAGGGCAGAGTTAAAATGGTTTGAATTATTTTTTCTGGTTAGCGTTCTTTTGGCAAGTTAGATTTCAACGGAATGGGGCCGCCAACCCCATGTCCAACCCTCCTCCTTTATCCGGGCTTGGGACCGGCAGTAGCCCCTAAGGTTCTACTGGCGGAGTTAAACTACGTCAACTAAAACGGGCATATTGCGAATTTAAGGACTACCGAATCTTGTACCAAATTTACGCTAAACTTGAAGGTGTGAAAAACCAACATGAAGTGCGTAAGCGAATAGAAGAAAACACTGCTCTCGCCACTTCATGAAAGTCCCAAAACCTATGTTGTTTGCTTAACTAACGCATAAAAATGACTCAAACCGCAAAATTCATTCTATACTACATGATGGACAGACATATTATGGCGAAACTGTTATTTATGAACTGTTTAGTACATGGTTCTACCTCAACAAGAAAACATCTCTTATGCCTAATACTAACATGAACTGTAGCAGTAACAATAGTCCAATCTAGTGGAGACAATGGTGATAGGAAATGTGGCCGTAGTTGTTTCCACAAGTGCAACTGCATGTAGATTGCAGTAAATATTTGTTTCAGATTTGTGAGTTTGCTGTTGCATCTGTATTAATCATTATGAACATTTTACGCACTTGTTTTGAGTTGTAATTTGACTACACCATTATCTGTTTATTCAGTGACGTTCTAACGGAGATGAACTTAACATCCTGGACAAGAGTGGCTACAAACTTCCTCCTCACGAAATGAAAACCCAGATGAACCGATCCCCTAGACGAGCATGTGGTCGGTTCCCCGAAACACTGTACCCGACAGTGCTAGCCAAAAATCTGTTAAAATCACTCTCCAAAGAGTGTGGATCGCCCCACTCTTGGTGTGTAGCACGCAGGCTACGCAAAGTTCAGACTAAATTTTCCAGTCCCATTCTTCTCCATTTTAGTACTGTCATGGAGACCAATCACTTGATTAATAGTCAGTCACTACTTAGAAACATCCCACTATCTAAGGAGATTAGAATTATCAGTGATAGAACTACTGTAGAATCTAATTTGAAAGCCTTGTTTTGGAAAATCCCCCCATGTATATATATTTGTGTTATGATCTGACTGATTTTTTCTGTTCGATATTTTGGTACTTTATTTGATCCCATTTTCGGACTTTATCATTTGTATCGTGCCATTATTTCTATACCTTGTACTTATATTGAAGTTTCTCTGTTTCCTTCTGAACTATGTATGTGTTGTTTAAAGTTGATACTTAATATGGCTACAGCCATTTTTGAATTTGATACTCTAGCAGCTGCTCGTTGATACTGACTGGAAGCACTTATTCTCCCAGCATCGAAACTTATTGTTGGGATTAGAAACTCGAAGATGTAATATTGTTTTGGTAATAGTTTGTATTTCCATTTTTGATTGAATATAGAACCGTTCTTTTCCAGAATTTATATTTTTAGACTTGGACTGGGCAAGACGCGTGTTGACCTGCACCTTCCGGTTTAAGAGCACTGCAAGTGTAATAAATATTTCTACAACTACAATTTAACGCCTAATTACCAATGACCTTCCAACTATGCCAGCAAACTCGTGCACTAGTAACAGCTATGATCTTGAATGTCAACTGAGCCTTACAGTACCTACCGCCCCCTTAAAACGGAGAACTGATCCAAAGTGACTACTAGTCCAAAGACCTGTCTCCTGAATAAAAGTGCTGCAACTTGTTTTGTAGTCAAAAGCCAACCTACATGAAAACCACAAGTCAATCGCACTTCTGTGATATACAAACACTGTCCTAAAGATAAAGGGACAGACCTAGTGGTTCGAAATCCCCACATGAAACGTGCTACTTGCCCTATCCATCAGTCTTCAGTACTTGACCAACCCAATAAACAATAATGCCTGCCACCTATCTCTCCTACTTGTGACGCTACTTTACTTCTAAAATTAAACCCTAGGACTCCTAAGAATACGGACACTCATACCATAAATACCTCCCTAAATTCTAACCTTAGGCGCCTCCCCGTTTCCAACCCAAAGCCTATACCCTGGATTGCGTATAAAAAGAATAGGATGCCTAGAGTTTCTGGGATAACTCGTAACAATAGCCTGCTTGAGCATCCGCCTAATGTTCCTAGACACCGTCCTAACCGAAATACCTTTTACAATTCTTGGGTTTCTCCTACAAAACATGTACGTAATCCTTTTTAACGCTCACCCTCTCAACAGAGTTGTTTTACTACCTCCAGCTGTTGAGGGCGATATTTCCTCCTCCTACAAGTCATGCTCTGCATTCTGTGATGTAATGGATAACAATCAATCTTTGCCGCTATCTGCCCCTTCTAGATGTAATACGTTTATGTCTGGTCCTTTTCACATTGTCCGAAGATTTGACTTACCCCACTATACCTAATCAAATGGACCTACGAAAAGATCCGTCCTTATGCCCCCTAGAGACTTCCTCATCTGTTCTTTGGAGGTCATCAGTTAACTCTGCCAAACGACACTTCTCATATCCTACCTCACATTCTTCTCTCACCATGCCTGTCTCTGAATATCTTTCTGACTCTAACTATATCGCTCCCAAATTAACTGATCATAACAATCAAGCCTATATTCCTACTTCCAGCCCTCCTTCAGAACACACAACATACAACCCTCCGGATGCCCACTGTGCATCCATGAAAGATGAGTATCCATCCTATGCAAGACCAATGCTAATTAATTCCCGATCTGTTATGAATAAGATTACCTACTTACGCACTCTGGTTATTCTAAACAATCCTTCCATTGTCTTGAATACTGAAACCTGGTTGTCCTCCGATGTCCCTGACTCATACCTTCTAATAGACTGTGCTGAACCAAACAATATATTATATCAAAATATTAACAAAGATATTGAATACAAACAGGTGTGTATTGAAATATATAAGTTAAATGTAATGAACACAATAAAAAATGTAAGGAAGTTACTTTATACGACTGTTTGTACGTGTTCGGTTGCGTTTGTTACCATAAATCCACAATTATAAAAGTGTTAGTAATCCAAATGATGTAAATATCCGTAAAGTAGTATATACGTATGACTGCAGGAGCACCGAATATGCACTTGGAAAGAATAATGACGACGCCATACTGTTAAATACGATCGAAGAGGGTTTGTAGATGATGGATATGTTCTTTGATCGATGTGCTGGCTATAAGGACATCATCTATGTAGACGAAAACGAAGTCGAGACTTCTGGTCTTTTCATCCGTGAAGCGATGAAATGTTTGGGCTGCATTTTCTAACCTGAATGGCATTCTCAATCGTAGATGCGCCAACATCTATTGTGAGGTCGGTGGATGCTTGTTCGATGTAGAGTGTGTTCAGTGGAGCTGGCAGAATCAAGAGTTCCTTAAAGTGCTCTACAAACTTATGGCGCTGTTCTTCAGTGTTGCTGATTACTTTGCCTTCCTTGCTTTTCACTGGACGTTCTGCTTCACGATAGTTTCCAGCGAGCTTCTTTGTTGTTTCGTACAATTGTCTCAAGTTTTCTTCTCTCGCGGCCTTTTCCGTCGTCATTGCTAGATCTTCCACATATTTTCGTTTGTCAGCTCTGATGCTTTTCTTCACTTTCCTGTTAGCTTCTGTGTGTGCAGCTTATGCACACTTTCTCAGCTCCTGATCGGCTGACGTTGATTGATGCATTTTTGTTCCCCTATTACAGAATATATTCAAGCTTACAAACAAACATCCATTCCTCGTGATCGTACTTCTTGTGTACCAGAACATCGTTACATGTTGAAGTGATTGCATCCTTCATCCCTTTCCAATTGATCTTCAAGTTTACTTACTCTCTCTTTAAGGCGATTTTCGGGCAAGCCAATATTGATTTGTTTCTCCTTAATTTGCTCCATATGAATTCAATGGTCTCAAGTAGTGGTATGTTGGTAAACAAAGATCATATTTCTCCCGCTAATGTTCATATGTTCTACTTCGGAAGTGAACTCTAAAACTTCTGTACCTTACTGTTGCCTGAGTAAGCGTTCCATTATACGGACACAGAAACCTTATAAATATCCTTGAAGAGTGTTGTATTACCAAAAGTGATCAATGTTCCTGTGGTTGATAAGACAATGAAAACCTCAACATTTTAGACAAAGCAAGGGAAACAAGAAATATCCTCGATGCAGCGTCAAGATAAGATATCAAAGACGAACAAATTCTCTTTCGTCATATACAGTAGCTAATGCAGGTGAAGTCAGCAAGAGTAATCGCAGTCTCGCGATCAGTAGGTTCAACAAGTACTCAATTATTCTCCCTGAATTAGCTGTTTTAGATATCTTAACAAAAGTTGATAAAATTTTGTTGATATTCTTGTTACTCTACGTACAACTGATTTATGCAATGACTCTAAAATTCTCACTAACCACTTCACAATTTTGTGGTACGGAAAATCGAACATATCTAGAACCGGGCATCGAGGAAGACCCGATTTGTGAACTTTTGGTAAATCGAATAGTCGTGGTGTGTAGGATCCAGTACGCTCAAATAAGTCATGAATTTCAGGCGTAATTATACCCTTTATCTTTAATTCCTTGAGAGGATTTGTCAATTGATTTTCCACTTTTTTATTGATATGATTATTACTCGTAACTTTTTGAAACTTGCTAGGATCATCGAGCATTCCTTCCATTTTATCTGTGTAATCAATTTTATTCGTAAGAACTATACCTCCCCCCTTGTCTAGAATGCTCATGATCAAAGTTTCGTCTTTCTTGAGTTTTTTCTAAAGCCTCATGGTGCAGCTTAGTGAAAAGGCGATTTGTAGGACGCTTGCTATTCTTATACTGTAGGCAGCTATCGACTAACGTTGTCTTAAAACTAGCTACATCTTCCACTGAGATAGGGACAAGATCAGTTGTTTGTGAAAATAAATTCTCAAACTGCACATCCGTATCTAGTTGATTGGCCTTCTGTTACGTCCAGTTTTTTGCCCGTTGATTCTACGAAGCACGGTTGTCGAACTATTTGTAATTCACGGTCCCAAATTTTAAACCAAGAACGAAACTCCAAAGTAGATACCAAAGTTTATTCCAAATCACAAATTCGACCAAAATGCTGTATTACAAATAGACGACCAATGTCGTTCTAACAACAATAATTATAATAATTACAATTACCTTCTAATTTATTAGCTCTTGGAGCAAAAAACTGCAAACGAACAACAAGGAGAAACGGGAGTCCAAAATGTCCGCAAATAATAATTCAAACAAGTTCACAAGTTAAGTAAAACAAATGTACCCAAAAACAGTGAAATTAATGATATTTATACATGAAGGTTTTGATCAGCAAAATGTCTTCGTTTCTCCCGTAACACTCCCGACCAAAAGAACCTTGGTTCTTTTCACCGACAAAAATATATAACAACAATCCAAGTATGTGCATCACAAGCAATCAACAACAAACATTCAATATAAATTCTACACCGGCCCACAATATCCCTCTAAGCAAAACAAGCCCTTTCTAACACTTCAATTTACGGTTCATTCTCATCCCCTAATCCACACCGGAAGAACGAGTAGGACTTACAGCAGTACGCCTACCCGCCCTCCAACATGGATATGACCTATCAAACTATGAACCTGTACATTCCCATCAGGTCCTTGATTCCCCTATCTATCGTAGCATGACCTAACGGTAGTATAAACCTTATCCAATTCACCCACACGAACATGTGCAACACGTCGTAAAGCTGGTCATATCCTCTTAGAGATTTACTTTCCACCTCATGGGGATGAGTCGTTAATCCACCACCCATTGCTCCAAACAGCAGATACGATGAAGCCCGTGATGCTGACTTATCAACAGAAGTTCTTGACCCATAGATAATATGCAAGGGCAGGATCTCCGATTTTGACGTTTCCTCGTCTCCCGAAGACTCTAGGTGGCATAACATTGGAACAATATTCAACTCTCCATCTCCTGGTACAGAGGTTTGATCAGCATTCGTCAACGTCGACAAATCATTTGTCACATCAGTGACATCCAGATTATTATCATCGTCATTATGATTCCGTTCTGTCAGACAAGTCGCGTCGATTCGGTCTGCATTAGCATCCGTCTCAGAGACACAAGACATATGCTCATCAATAGCATCGTCATCACACAACACTGTAGACTGGCTGTTACCATCAAACACTTTCTTCTCATCATCACTCGACTGACAGTCAACCGGAATAGGAACAGTTACAGTTGCACAACCTTGTGCATCTTCGATCAACTTAACATTCGTGACGAGGTCCAATGACGTCGAAACACAAGGAGGCTCATTCGATGAAGTTGATAGACTAGTCACTATAAGTGGACTGCTGACACTTTCTATCTCCTTATTATCACTGTCACTACTAAGGTTCTGATGGCTACTATTTCCATTGCTAGTCATAGCATCCGAAAGAGAATGAGGTTTAGGCTTCTTTATAATAGTAGCATCAATGTAAGAACGGATGTATGCCACCGCCTCATATCCAACTTCCGAGGCGTCACAGAAAATATGAAGTTCCAGGAGCGAGCGATCTGACTGTGGGAATAATACACAGCGTGGAAAACTAACGTTCTCAACCTTCTGAAATCCACTTAAAATCTCTAACCAGCGTTTGCCTTCCTCACTTGAGATCTCTTCGTCCCATCCTAGTCCCAATTTACTCAAACGTTGAAGTAACTGCTTCATAGGAAGTATGTATGGTGCAAACAATCACAAGGGGTCGTGTAATGAAGCTACACTCGACAATATACCTCGCCTAGTGAGAGGGCATTTCGGTATGCGAACTTTAAATTCAAACGCATCAACCACAGTATTCCAAAATAATCTCAATGTGCGTTCCGTAGGAAGTCTGTCAAAGTCAATCTCTTTTACGGCTTCTGCTCTCTCTTCTGGATGAATTGATTCGAGAACATGTAAACAATTACTTATCCACTTGGTAAGTCTGAACCCACCTTTTCTGAGTAGTAAACCAAGGGTTTTTGCAAGCTCGATTGCATCCTGCACGTTATCAATTGAAGTTAAATAGTCGTCGACATAGAAACTCTTATCTACAACTTCCTGGACATCTTTATTCAATTCCTTTCCGAATATATCTACCGTCCTCCGAAGAGCGAAATTAGCGCAAAGGGGAGAGGACACGGCTCCAAACGGATGAACTGTCAAACAATATTCTTTAGCCTTTCGTCCTATATCACCGTCTTCCCACCATAATAGTCGAAACGCTCCCCTATCTCTTCTCGGGATCTTTACTTGAAGGAACATCTCCTCGATGTCAGCGGCTAATGCTACGTTGCATAATCTGAATCGTAGATGTATACCAATTAAACTATTTACAGTATTAGGTCCTCTCAAAAGCTGATCGTTAAGAGAACAACCTTGATAGACAGCTGCACAATCAAAAACAATTCTTAATTTTCCAGGCTTTTTAGGGTTGATAACAGGATGATGAGGAATATACCAACAAACAGCATCACGGTCGAATTCCTCCTTACTAGCTTCAATGATGTATTCTGCCCATTATCACAAAATTTAGGCCCTAGGGACAAAGCTTCCAACAGTATTACGTCAAGTATAATATTTGAAAAATTTTGTACATGCCGAGTCGGATCAAGAGGAAATTCCTCCTCAGGTTTTTGATTTTCCAAAGTTTTCAATAGTTTTCTCCTAGTCTTCTCAGATCTGTTCTTAGATACTTTTTCGATATCGTCCATAAATATTGAGTGTATCTCCGATGGCAGGCTATCTACGGAATGTTGTCTGAGATTTCCCAAGTCTCGGATATTAATTTTCAAAGTATCAATTTCATTCGACGTATGTCTTTCAAGTGTTTTTCCATTAGGATAGATTCTGTTCCGACGCAATCACTTCCAGTATACTTTAGGAAATCTGTTAGACTGAGTACAATTATTAGCAAATCCTAAGCTCGTTTTCGCTCCCATGAGACGCGCCTTGTCAGGAAAACTGGTATTAGGAACCCAAATGTGAGTGAGACTATTTCGGAAAAGAATGGTCTTATAATCCATTCTCAATCCAGGTACTGGACCGATGAGCAGAACACTTCAGGGTTCAGTTGAACTAGCTTTCAGCCACCAGCACGGATACAGAAAGCTCGATATGCTTTTGCCAATTTACGCCGTTTATGGTGTAGGCGAGATATTCGTTTGCTAACCAAAGGACGGGTGTATTGCGCAACAGTTCGCTCCGTTCTACATTATGGATGCGAAACATGGCCGTTAAGAGTATGTGTTCGTATTTTACTAGCATTCGATCATAGATGTCTTAGAAGCATTGCTCGAATATCCTGGTACAACGCTTTTTCAACTTCATTAAGACTAGGGGGGACTTACGTCGATTTGCCATTCAGGATGACTGGAGATCGTGGGTAACTGAAGAGTGGCTCGAGGCCAGTTGAACTGATCCCTAAAGTGTTCTGCCCATCGATCCAGTCTCCTGGATTGAGAATAAATAATAGTCCCGTCATTTTCTGAGATAGTCTCACTTACACTAGGATTCCTAATACCAGTTTCCTTGATAAGTCGGAAAAGTTGTCTAGTGTTGCCGATCGCCGCTGTCTTTTCCATCGCTTTTGCTTTCGCCACCCACCACTGTTCGCGATCGTTACGTAGGCTTTTTATAAGTCTGCGCCTAAGTTGACTTCGTTCTTCATCATGTTCAGAGCCAGGTGGGATGAGTTTTCGGGCATCCATCAGATCGGTGGACGCTGCTGAGATCCACGGTTTCATTCTAGCCTTATGGCCAACCTTACTAGCAGATATCACTGCTGTTTCCACAGCCTTTTTGATATCATTCCATCCTGCTTCCGGATGGGAATCGCTTAAATGGTCGCCTAACTGTCTTTCTAGTTGTTCCTGAAATATATTTTTCGCCTTATTATCATTAAGTAAAACCCTAAGAGGCTTTCTTACGGTGTCTTTCCTACGCCCAGTAAGCTTCAAACAAATACGCGCTCGCACTAGGGCATGATCTGAATCTAGACATGTGCTCCAGAACGAGCGACAGTCCTCTATCGAACCCCTCCATCGGTGGCTGATGGCGATGTGATCTAGTTGAGTCCGACGTTGAGACGATTTTGGACGTCGCCAGGTCAACAGATGCTTATCCTTATGCCCTCTATTCAATCTGCAATAGATACAGCAATAGAAAGAAAGTTATTTATTCTTACATAGTTGCCAAATAACACAACCAAAAACAATCGATTACCATATTCACAATAAGTCAGTCGGTTGCAACGTAGAACTTCGTACGTATGTACATAAGTTCAGGTTGCCATACCACATTGGCACAGAGAGGCAAATGTCAAATCAAATTCAATAGTGATAGAGATAGTTGTAGGATTTTCGTTGCATAACGTTAGATTCACCAGAATAACGCACCCGAAGTCAATGAAGTAAAAGCTCTTTGAGTATTCGGAATATTTATTTGGAACAGTTAAATAAATATCGTATGTGGTTCTGCAACAAACAATTATTAATTTACTAGTTACTTACATTCAAGGTGATTGAGCAACAAAAACAACAGATTATCACGACGATCCGTGTCTCACACACCCAGCGAATAGAATGCCAAACAAAATGGCTGACCAAACAGTCAATGTTTCGACCAATAGAAAACAACTTCTAGATTGTTCGATCATACTGACCGATAAAATGCAAGTTACAAATTATATAGTAAACACTCAACTACTCATGAGTAGTACAACCATTACAACTAAATCCAACATTGCCCCCTGAGGTTGAAGAATCCCGGGATGTTTCTAATTGTTCAGGGTTCTGTGATTCTTCAACTTCACCTTCTAACTTGCATAACTGCCGTACATCTCTTCTCACTATCCCATTAGCTGTTCTTAACGTCACCTTCCGAACCAAGCCGTCGGTACCCTCCTGTATATCTGTGACGACCGCCTTCGGCCATTGCCACCTCGATCGTGCAGACTCTATCATCAATACTAAGTCCCCAACCTTCAAATTAGGCTTAGGATCGTGCCATCGTTGCGTTAACTGTAGCGTTGGGATATATAGCTTCAACCACCTTTTCCAAAAAAGATCAACCAAGTACAATGTTTGTCGCCATCTTCTATTGTATTTTGTTGTATAGTCCTTTTCATCGATGCTAGCTGGTTCGCTTGATCTAGGCAATAGTAACATGCTAGGTGAAAGCGCTTGTATTCCATCGACATCTTCTACCATCTTCACTATAGGCCGGTTGTTTAAAATCCTCTCTATCTCCACTAGAGTCGTATGTAATACCTCATCGGTGACCGGTTGTTCGTCGAGAACAACTACTAATATTCTTTTAATAGTTTTGATGATCCGCTCCCATATTCCTCCTCGATGATAAGCCTTTGGATGGTTAAATATCCAATCACAATTGTGAGCGGCAAGGTTTTTCGATATTTTTTCTTGGTTCCAAGCTCTCATTAAACACTTTATTGCCCTTTCGGAAAAGAATGGTCTTATAATCCATTCTCAATCCAGGTACTGGACCGATGAGCCGAACACTTCAGGGTTCAGTTGAACTAGCTTTCAGCCACTAGCACGGATACAGACATTGTGCTTATAGTGACAAAATTCTGCTTACAAATAACTACACAAACATGTCACAATTATAAAAACAACACTTGATTTAACCTGTCGAATATAACACGTGTAAAAAATCTAAATCCACTAATAAAATCGATAAAATCAAACGTAATAACAGTGTTCCATCCGTATCTTATTCTGATCTTCCTACTGACTCAATAGAATCTCACCGTGAACTTGAAAACGACATCTCTTTACCTTGTAACCCGCTCGTTGATATAAATACAATTAACTTACTTCCCAGTGACTTGACACCATCCACTACTTCATGTGTTTCCTCTGAAGTAGATTCCTGTGAGCACTTGTTAGAAAGTATGACTGCTCTTGAACACTTGACGAGCCTGCAAGCTGATCAAGTTTATAGCAATTCACAAAATGTCTGTAGGCCTTTTCGTCATAGGAAATCCAGTACTGTTGATCTGAACTGTTCCCTCTCTGATATGGTAATTAACGCAGATGACTTTACGCAGACTGAGCAACCGAAAAACCCTTGTAGCAAGTCTGATCACTATCCTATTCACCCTAACAGCTGCAAACTGAACTCCAGTACATTCGTCACTAATAATTCTAAGGACACTTAAAGCGCACTCGATGTCAACCAAACCATTCAGGATCTACCACTTTACAAGTACCTGGTCAGTGTAACAGAAAATCCTGATCTCAAAATCATTAGAAAAACCGAAATGGTAATTGACCATCTATCCTCTGAACCGTTCGAACGACTTCAGTGCATTCAGAATGCCATTGTTTACAACGTACCCGACAGTGCTAGCCAAAAATCTGTTAAAATCACTCTCCAAAGAGTGTGGATCGCCCCACTCTTGGTGTGTAGCACGCAGGCTACGCAAAGTTCAGACTAAATTTTCCAGTCCCATTCTTCTCCATTTTAGTACTGTCATGGAGACCAATCACTTGATTAATAGTCAGTCACTACTTAGAAACATCCCACTATCTAAGGAGATTAGAATTATCAGTGATAGAACTACTGTAGAATCTAATTTGAAAGCCTTGTTTTGGAAAATCCCCCCATGTATATATATTTGTGTTATGATCTGACTGATTTTTTCTGTTCGATATTTTGGTACTTTATTTGATCCCATTTTCGGACTTTATCATTTGTATCGTGCCATTATTTCTATACCTTGTACTTATATTGAAGTTTCTCTGTTTCCTTCTGAACTATGTATGTGTTGTTTAAAGTTGATACTTAATATGGCTACAGCCATTTTTGAATTTGATACTCTAGCAGCTGCTCGTTGATACTGTGGTGGACCAATCAATGTATTATTTCAAAATATCAACAAAGTTATTGAATACAAACAGATGTATATTGAAATATATCGATTAAATGTAATAAATACAATCACAAAATGTAAGGACGTTACTTTATACGGCTGCTTGTGCGTGTTCGTATGTGATTGGTACTAAAAAATCCACAATTATAGAAGATCTGTAATACAGTTAATGTAAATATCCGTAAGGTAGTTTATACGTATGACTGTAGTCTATAAATGTAGACAATATACGTATTAGAATCCGATTAGCATATTAATGAACGAATGAGAACATAAGTTGTGTGTATAAAGTGTATTTGATAGGCTCAGGCATTGAGTGCCGTGCTACGTGTACAACAGAACGGAAAAATCGGGTAGTCAACGTTACTTGTATCCAAGGTAACACACCTAAACAACATGTACAATCATTTTATAGTAAATGTACAAACAGTCGAAAATTAACAGAATAAATTCAAAATACGTTTGTCATGCCATCTCCACATAGCTCCCCCCCAGAATGTCCGGAGGTAACACTGGTTATATTAAAAAAATAATATGTGAGAGTACAGTGTGTGCATTTGTGTATAATAATTAGAAAAGCAATGCAGGAAAGTGGAGTATGGTATGACATGTACATTAATATTATACAACACGTTAATTTAAAAAAAAACTAGTGTGAATGTTGCATGGCATGCCAAAAAAAAGTAGGAAAAATACAGTCATACAATGTTTTGGTTGGTTGATAAAAAAAATAACAACGTGCAAAACTATTAATAAACACACAAGAAAATTGAATTGTTTCTTCTCATGAAAAAAAAATTATTATTATTATTATTATTGTTATTATTTTCTTTTTTTTTTTTTTTTTAAAAAAATAGAATTAACTCGTTAATTATAGTGTAAAAAGAATAATGTAACAATACGAGTTATTGCAAAAAGAAAAAAATGTGGTTTATTATATGCACGTGTTAGAAGACCAAAAGGTTATAATAGTTTTTTTTTAGAAGATTGAAAGTTTTTTAACAATATAATGTACATTAACAGCAATTTGTTGAATTCCGTTTTCTTTTTAATCAGCAAAATGTACATAGCGTTTAGGTTTATTCACTGCACTGCCAGAACGTGTTAAACAAGTGGGTTTAACGGTCGGTTTCTGCTCGTCTACAGCTTTCTTGTGGCTTTGCAGGAGGTTTTGTTTATCGGTGGTATTGTCTTCTTTGTCGAGTTGAGTTTCGTAGAAAGCTGGTTTAATTCTATCGATAGCGATAGTTTCCTTCTTTCCACCTTTGTTGATTAAAAAATGTTTATTAGTTCGTTTAATTACTTGATATGGTCCATCATAAGGTTGTTTCAGTGGCTTTTTAACCGCATCGACGCGAACGAAAACATATTTACACGTCGTCAGATTTTTGTCAAGGTGTATGCGGTTATTATGTTCCCGCGGCGGTATGGCTTTTAGGTTCTGCATAGTTTGTAGCAGTCGACTAGCGAATCGGCCTGGGTCGCTTGGTGCCGACGTGTCCGTGTCAACCAATTGGCCTGGCAATGTAAGTGTTGTGCCGTAGACCAGCTCAGCAGAAGTACATCCGATGTCCTCCTTGATGGTTGAGCGAATTCCCAGGAGTAAGAGCGGTAATGCGTCGACCCATTTCGTTGTGCCAGCTTGTGCCATCAGTGAGCTTTATAATTGGCGGTGAAATCTTTCGACCAAATCATTAGCTACTGGATGATAAGCTGTGGTCTTGATGTGGTTTACTCCCAGTAGTTTAGCGAATTCCTGGAGTAGAACGGATTGGAACTTGGGACCCCGGTCTGTAGTAATAATTGAGGGAACTCCGTAATTAGATATCCACCGGTCAAGAAAAACTGTTGCTACCGTTTCTGCCGAGGTATCTGCAATCGGACATGCTATCGACCATCGGGTGAATCTGTTAACCGCGGTGAGAATTTGAGTGAAAGGGTTGGATGGTGGCAATGGACCAACGATATCTAAATGAACGTGTTGAAAGCGTTTGTCAGGAAGCGGAAATTTACCATCAACACTTAATGTGTGTCTTTGTACCTTACTACGTTGGCACTGTAAGCAGCTTCTGGTCCAACGTTTTACATCCGAGTTGATTTTAGGCCAGACGAAACGTTCCGTTATCATTTTAGTGGTGGCTCGTATTCCCGGATGCGAAAGTTCGTGTAACTGTCGGAATATTTGTCGTCGACAGGCTTCAGGTACAAAGGGACGCTGATTTCCAGTTGATACGTCGCAGATTATCGATGCGTTGGAGAAAGGGATGTGTTGAACATGTTCTTCGATCGATGCGCTAGTTATAAGAACATCATCGATGTAGACAAAAACAAAATCGAGGCCTCTGGTTACCTCATCCATAAATCGCTGGAACGTTTGGGCTGCGTTTTTTAACCCGAATGGCATTCTCAAGAATTCAAACAAGCCAAAAGGTGTGATAATGGCTGTTTTTCCAATATCTTCTGGTGCCACCGGGATTTGGTGATATGCCCTAACTAGGTCAAGTTTTGAAAAAAACTGTTTTCCATGTAAGTTAAGCGAAAAATCATGAAGATGAGGAATAGGGTATCTGTCAGGTGTCGTTTGGTTATTCAAACGTCGATAATCGCCACATGGGCGCCAGTTCTGATCTTTCTTTGGTAACATGTGTAGTGGCGAAGCCCATGGGCTGTTTGATTGACGGATGATACCCAGCTGCATCATGTGTTCAAACTCTTTTTTAGCAATTTGAAGCTTATGTGGGGGCAGTCGCCTTGGTTTGGCGCAGACGGGAGGACCAGTAGTAGTAATGTGATGAAGTACGTGATGAAAAGTGTTTTCCTTCCGATAGTCAACCTTGGTGATGCTATCATATTTAGTTAAGAGGTCAGCGAAAGGTTGATTAATAGGCTTAATTAAACGTACTCCATGAATTTCGTAAATGTTATTAGTTATGCCGTTTACGTGTAGACGTGTCTGATTGTCGACTAGTCGTTTGGCACGCACATCTACTAGCAGATTATAGGCAGTAAGGAAATCTGCTCCCAGGATAGGCTGTTTGACTTGTGCTACTACGAAGACCCATGTGAAACGTCGTCTGAGGCCAAGGTCGAGTATAAGGGATTGTTCCCCATAAGTTTGGATGATTGTTTCATTCGCTGCCTGGAGTGTTATTTTGCTGTGGGTGATGTGTTGCCGTCGTGAGAGGTAGAGAGGGATAATGCTTATTTCGGCTCCTGTATCGACTAAGAAGTCTGAGCCCGCAATTCTGTCCCTGATGTGAAACAGACGGCTAGTAGCATGACCAGAAGCAGTTGCTGCCATCACTGTCTGGCCAGTTTCCCTGTGATTCTTGACTGCTTGCAGGGA